ATAAAAAGCTTGCCTTTGAATCTTTCACACACAATTTTTGGTGAGGGTTACACTGATCTGACCATAAAAGATTCTACATAAAACAAACTGTAATTATTTCTCTTTATCCATTTCACATATACAAACACCTCACATATATATTCTCAGATAAGGAGAAATAAAATATCAAAGCTAAAAAATAAAAGTTAGAAAGGGAAAATAGATAAATAAATATCAAAATGTAACAGTAAAGATAACTTTAAAAAATATATTGTGCTGATAGTATATGTGTCATGCAAAAAAGGGGAGGAGGAAGGGGAATTTCAGAGAATATGAAACAGAAAATAAAGAAAGGGTGAGGCAGAGTTTAAATAAATCAAGAAAGATGGTATAGGGATGTTGTGTCTGATTTATGACCAAACTAGAAAACTAATTTTGAAACAGCGTTTTGTGTGAGAGAAGCTAGTATGTCTAATATCTTATTTACTTTCTCGTTGCTAAGATAAAATAACCTGACACTCACAAATTAAAGGATGAGACATTTATTCTACCTCACAGTTTGTAGAGGTTTCAGTCTATATCTGACTACCTCCAAGGCACAGCATGCAGGTGGTAAAGCAATGAGCTTTCTTTTTCCCTTTTATTCCATTCAAGCTTTAAGCCTATTGGTTGGTGCCACCCACACCAAGGATGAACCTTTCCATTACCCACACCCAGAACTACACTGATTCCATCAGTGATCACACATCTATTATTTACTTACCTACACTCATAATCCAGCCACCTTACTAAAGCCCCACCTATGAGCACAGAAGGTTTTAAGAAGACATCTATATATAAGCCATAGCACCTAGGTAACGAACTAAAGAGATTAAAGCATTAACTCTTAGTCCTACAGTTTTACTAGTTCACTGCCTACCACCTACTTCTTGCTAAAAGTAATACCAAAAGAAAAGAAAATTTAAAAACAAAAATGAATAAAAAATATGTTGTCTTGATAGTGTTTTTGTAATGCAAAAGAAGGGGGACAGCAGGAAAATATGAGAAGGTGTGAGAAGTAAGTGAAACAAAAGGGGAGGAGGAAACTAAAGTATCCAGAAGTTACAGGAACATTGGGACTAACTTATGATGAAACCCAATAGCTAGTTTAGCTAACATTATGAAACAGTCTTTGGCATGGGTGATCCTAGTGTAGCTTAGTAAAAGCAGTGGCTCAGAATTCTACACTCTTACTAGTACACAACAGCCCTGTTAGCTTTTCAAAAAGTAAGAGGCACAAATGGCCAATAAAAACATGAATGTTCAACATCATTGGTCATTAGAGAATTACAAATTAAAACAATAGTGAGATTTCATTTTATTTCAGAAAGAATGACTATTATCAAGAAAACAAATAATAAATTCTGGAGAGGCTATGGGCAGAATGGAACATTTCTACACTGTTGCTGAGAATGTAAGCTAGTAAAGCAATAGCATGAATAGACCTAAAAAACTAGAAATTTCGTTAAACCCATCTATTCCCTTCTAAGTATCTTTCGAAAAGTTAAAGAATTCACATTAGAGTGATATGTGCATATTTATATTTATAGCAGCACAATTCATAATAGCTAAATCTTGGAAACTGCTCTTTCTACACTATCCTCTAGGTGAATGTGCCCTCCAAAATTTTTGCCTGTGCCAAATTCTCTGTCCACAACTCAGAAAGAGTTGTTATTTAGCCCATAAATTTAGTGGTGTTTAGCGCTCCCTAGAAAAGGGAGCTCCTCTATGAAATTCAGTTATGTTGGTGATTCATTTGGATGAAATTCATATAGGAATAGGCCTCAGCAAAATTTGGTGGGTGGCAAGGGATTCTTCGTGGGCACTGAGCTTAAAGGCATTTGGAAGACAGGCAGCAGAAAGTATTCCACACTTGGGCACAAAGCTCAGAGGCTTTTGGAGGCCTGCTGGGACAGTGCCTACACCAGTACTTCTCCAGAGTCTGTTCTCCACCTCCAAAGCACTCTAAATATAGATACTGTATACTCCTGTAACTCTTGCTCTCTCACAGATCTCTCAATCTCTGGTTCTAGAAAGCTAACTAGGACTGTGCCCTTGTTTGACCTTATCCCTAGGACTTGCTGGTTCTAATTTAGTCACTACTCTCTGAATGACACTCTGGCCAGTGTTTTCCTGAATGATTTTCATGCTTTCCTTTGTGTCCTTATTAAGGATGCTCTCTTTTGAAACTATCTTTCTTGCGAGGCTCCATCATCCAATAGGAAGAAAATTAGCACAGGTGGGCACCGGGCAGTATTTATTATGCTGTGTGCGAATCACAGAGCAAAAGCAGGTATTGCATTGGGCTCCTTCCCTCAAGGAGTTAAATCTTTCCCAAATATGGCATGTTCCTGTACATGCTCACAGGTGGGGCTTTAGGGATGTGCCTGGATCATGGGTATCATAAATAGATAATGGATGTGTGATAAATAGACTTATTAGACAACTGATTCAGTGTAGTTTTAGTTGCAGATAATGCAAGGGCACATCCTGGGTATAGGTGCCACCAGTCAATATACCTGGGCTGTAACCAATGTCAGGATTGAGAGGCAGTCTTGTTTCTTTATCTAAACACTTCCAATCTTAGAATTCACTAGTGGGCTTCTCATTCAAGTTATCACCTCCTATTTTGGAGTTTTATTCATTCCCTGTTTTTGAGAAACTGTAGAAGTTGGGTGAACATGCTTCCAGTGTATCATGAGTGCTTACTATGACATTTATTACAAGATGGAGACACATGCTCCTTAGAAAGACGCAGAGCTGCATATTTCATAGACATACACACAACCATGTGGTCTGCAGCTGGATCACAAAGCCATACACCTTGCATGTTGACCTTTGACCAATTTCACATCTGTGGATTTTGCTCTTAGACTCAGACAGTAGCTAATGCTGAGCCAGCTCTGTGTGTTTTGCTTTCCGCAGCACAGGGTAGGAGAGAATCTATAAACCAATCAACCTCTTAATGGACCAGGCAACTACCTGGGAAGACAAGGTAATACTGAAGGGTTAGAAGCTCCAGGGAGAAATTATGAACCTGACAAGACATGAGAGCTCAAAAAAAGTCTATAGCTATTTTAAACTACAAAAACAGGATGAGGTGAAAGTGACTCTCATGAAAGTAAACCTTTTCATGGCAGATGAAAGTTAGAGAAGACATCCTGTGCAGCAGACAGTGTACTGCCAGAGAGCATTTAATCAGTTGTCATTTGGGAAAGACATCATTTGATCAATACAGCCACAGAACTACTACAGAACAACTTCACTTCAGATTTTCTAGTGCTATCCTACCACAGTGACTGGGTGAGAAACAGCACAGGTGGCAGAAAAGGAAAAAGTGTGGGCTAGACATAGATTCGCTGAGAAGTAAAAGCTGAGGCTTGGAAAAGTCATAGGCCCTGTCCTCTATAGTAAGAAACTAGGCCTAGTAAGTGTGGCTTTCAGAGGCAGCTCAATCAGAAAGTACTGGCATTAAGTCCAGCAGTCGGCTTGAGCTCCCACCTTGTAATGTACACACAACAGATATTAATAGTCTGATTGTTTTTCCAAAGTACTGATGTGATCAAGGACATGCTTTAGCTTGGACAACTGCCACTCTTTGGGGCATATAGTGAGGTGATACCTCACAAACCCATAAACCATAAAAGTAGGTGATGAAAACAACAGCTTGCTGCATTCCAACACTGTAGAACCTGGGAAGAAACAATTCATTAAAAAATAAGATGATTTTTTTATTTCTTTACCTTTATTGGGTTTAGGGAGGTCTTTCTTTTTTCCTTGTATTTTTTTCTTTTCCCTCTCTATTGTTGCTTTGTACTTCTCTTCTTGTTTGTTAATTTCTGTTATCTTTATCAAATAATATTATTTTATTTTTCTGAAGGATCCTTAATCTCATGTTACTCTCCTGTTCCTCATCTCTCATTGAATACTTTTTCAAAGTTCAATTTATATCCTCTAGTTTCCTACTCTGTGTATGTGTATTGTATACCCATTAAGCTTTATGAACCTTTAGACAGTTAGCCATATGCTATTGTTGTCAAAAATTGTTCTATAGTTACTGAAGGTGTAAAATTGCAGTTAGTAGATATTTATTATATATCAATACATTTAGTTTGTCCTAGTGCTTATACTGTACTTATAGATTACTGTTCTATAGGTATGGGTGATATTATTATTCGTTTCTAGGTATGTCAGTGTCCACTCGGTCTTTGACACTATGCCCCTGATTTTACTGCTATTTCCAAGGAGGCATAGTTGTTGCTATTAGTATAAATTCTCTGTATGCCAATATTTGGGTTTTGTTTCATTAACAATAACATAGTCCATTCTATAGAACTGAATGCTGAGCCAAATACACTGCAATTTCCTCTCCCAAACAAATGGAAGGGGTTGGATGGTCTCTCTGTACACAGGAAAAAGACTATACTTAGCTATTGGATTACATCACTGATAAGGAGACACTAACTGAAGAAGTCTATATGCACTCAAAAACCCTTCCAATATAACGAAACCAGCAAACATCTGCACACACAAAACAATAGAAATGTTAGAAGACAAGGCAGCAAAATGCCTCCAAAACACTCAATTCCTCCAACACTGATCCATGAGGCATCAAGGGGTAAGAAATCAAAAGCCACACAGCCAAATTATTTAAATGGATAACAGGAGATTTTTAAAAAGCAGATCACTAAGGTGTTCATCAAGCTCAGAGAATATATGACTAAACAAATAATGACATAATAAGCAAATGATCAGCATATTTATATAATATACTAATAAAATTTTAGCTGAGCTAAACATTAGTTAGATCAACCAGACTAGAGAAAGGAATGAAACAGGTATGTTTAGGAAAGAAAGAAATGAAATTATCCTCATTTGTAAATGACATGATTTTCTGCATAGAAAACCCAAAAAAAATTTCACCAAAAGACTCCTAGAATTAATAAATTAAGCAATGTAGCAGAATACAAAATCAATACACAATACTTATCTGGCAGGGAAAATACCATGATCACAATGGTGTTTTTCCCAGGGTGAGGTTCATCCATTGCACTCTGGATGTGCTGACTCCTGCGATTTCCCAAATGTAGGAAACTCAACTGCATAATCTGTGGCAGTGGGGGACTGTATTCATGCTTTCCCCTGATGAAAAAAATCAACACACAAAGATCAATAATGTTCTGGTGCACCAGCAATGAAAATTCAATGAGAAAATATTTAGGGAATAGGGGCCCAGAGTTATAGTTCAGTGGCATAGCACCTGAGTGCAAAGTCATGAGTTCAATTCCTGATACAAAAAAATTTACGGAACAATAGCATTCATAATATCATCAAAATTAAAATAATTTTAATGAATCTGACCAAGAAAAAATGCCACTATAATGAAAATCAGAATACTCTGAAAGGGAGATTGAAGATAACATCAGAAAAGGAAGAGATAGCCTTCAGAAAGCTTGCTTCCTGGAGGCAGCCAGCATGGATAAGAACATACGTCAGAGCCACCCCTGCTTGCCCACCACTGTCATCCAAAAGGTTGCTTCCTGCAGACAGACAGCATAGGCAGGGAGACACAACCAGATCTGCCCGTGTGCATTGCTGCTTCAGACGGCTTGCTTTCTATGGGCAGCCAGCAGCAAACAAGGAGATGTTTTCAGATACACCCAGTGCACCTGCAGGCCGCCACTGGAGATCTTTGCTTCCTTTGGGTAGCCAGCACCAACTGGGGGGATCAAACACACCCCTATGTACCTGCCACCATTGGGGGAGTCCTGGTACACAGGTTGAGAGAAGAAGCAGCTCCACTATCACTTACTCCTGGCCTTCAGGGAAGCCTCAGTGTAGCTGTAGGGATCGAGAGAAGCACATCCCATGCCCTGCTACCTCCCTGAGAAGCTGGGTTCAGAGAAACCCAAGTGACTGCCACATTCGCCTATACCATGGAGGGGCAGCCAATGTGGGAAATACCTGGGACCCCACAACTGGCTTTTTGGGAGAAACCCAGGTGAATGCCAAGATGAAAGAGCAAAATGCAATGTCAGGCCTCCAGCCCACACAGAACAAGCCTGGGAGATACAGTCATGGAAGAAAATGGAAGTTACACACCTGAAATCTCCAAGATGGCAACTGAAGCAAAGAACAACTCCATGAGATTACAAAAGTAATCAGGCCAGAAATAATGTCTCAGCTCAAAGAAGAAATCATAAGCATAATGAAAGAATTTCTAAAAAAAAGAGGAACACAAGAAAATGATGGAAACCCTTAATAAACAATATAGGAAGAAATTAAAATGCATGAAACAGATTCAAAGAGATATCCAGGAAATTAAAAAGTCAGTCAAAAGCTGACAAAAATGCTTGAAAGAGACTGAACATAGAATTTCAGGCCTTGAAGACAAGATTGCAGCTAGTAGTTGTGAAAGGAAAGATCTTGGAGAACAAGTAAGCATCTCCAGAAAATCAGCCATACTGGAACTTGGGGGACCAACCCAGAAAACAATGAACCCTCCTTCCTGGTAAGTGGTGCAAACTGCGGGCTCACCAGGGAGAGAACAAGTCAATGTCTGCCTTGAGCCTACTGGCACGAGGGCTGAGAATCAAATGTCCCGTGCCCCTCTCCTTAGCAACCTGGTAGTTTCAAGGTTTGCGGGAGTTGATAGCAACTAATGTACATAAAGCAACTAAATGCTCATATTGTCCAGCTGATTATGCTGACATGAGGCCAGAGGTCTGAGCATCTCTTGGGAAGATCACAGTATGCAATATAGCAAATATAGGGAATCTGTCTTGCCTTTCAAAGTCAATATTGTTTTCACTGTTTTGCTTTGTTCTGATTAACTGTTTTGCTCTGTTCAGTATTCTGTTTTGATTGGTTTTATAGTGCTCTGTTGTTGGTATGATTTTGCTATATCTAATTGAATGGACAACTACTGTGAAGATAAGAAGATGGCACCTATTATTGTTATTCCAGTATCCTGCTCTGAATTCTATGCCAATTTCACTGCATTGTTTTGATTGGCTTTGTTCTGTCTTATTTTGTTGTATTTTACTATCTTTAAAATAAAATTTAAAAAAGAAAGGAAATATCTCTTAAAAATAACAAGGAACCAGGAAATAACAATTTAATAGCTGCAAGATGATACAAAGTAATTTAAGAGCGAGGTGTCAGCAAAGAATCAGCGGTCAATACAAACAAAATAAAAACACTGTTTACAAAAGTAATAGCAGAAAACATCCCAAACATGGGAAAAGATTCTGACATATATATGAGCAAGGTATATATAACTCCAACTAGCCATAACCAAAAGAAGAGCATAGGAAAATGATGAAAACCTTGAATGAACAATATAGGAAGGAATTATCATTCATGATACAGATCCAAAGAGATATCAAAGAAATTAAAAAGTCTATCAAAACTCACAAAACTGCTTGAAAGAGACTGAAGATAAAATTTCAAACCTTGCAGACAGCATTGCAGCTAGCAATTTGAAACAAAAATTCTCTTAAAATAATGAGGAAGTAAGAAACAATTCAATGGCTGCAAGACAATGCAAAGAAAAATAATTTAAAAGTGATAAGCATCAGCAAAAAAGCAGGATTCAACATAAATGACATAAAGAAACTACAGGAGTAATAGCAGAGAACTTTCCTCTCATAGAAAAAGGACCTAACATACAGATAAATGAAGCAGTACAGAACCCCATCTAGCAATAACCAAGATAAATCTCCACCCAGATATATAATAATCAAGATCCCAGATATTTAACACAGGAACAGAATATTAAAGGCTGTTAGAGAAAACAAACATGTAATAGCTGATAAAGGAAAACCTATCAGAATCACAGCAGACTTACCAACACAAACTATCAAGTCAAGAAGAGTCTGGAGTGAAGTTTCAAATCCTAAAGAAAATAGCTTCCAACCCAGATTGATGTACCATGCATAAGTATGTTTCAAAATTGATGGAAAATAAGATATTTACATGATAAACAACAAGTGAAGGAACTCATGACCACCACACCAACCCTATAGAGGGTGCTAAAGGATATTCTAGAGTGAGGTAGATATGACTATGGATCTAGGAACAGCAGCAGAGGAGGATCACCAAACAAGACAGGCAATTGAACAAATGGAAAAAGTGGAAGGCCAACAGCGGGAGGATAGCATGGCAGAGATGAACCAATACATGCCAGCTGTAATCATTAATGTAGATGGCCTCAATTCAGCAATAAAAAGAAACTCAGGGAGAGTGGATCAAGAAGCAGTATCCATCAATATGCAATATACAAGAAACACATTTGACTCCAGAGGAAATTCACAGATGAAAATCAAAGAAGAAATAACAATTATTTCATGTGATAGGAGACCAGAATAAAAGCAAGGGTGACTTGCCCATGAGCCACAGAATGGATAAGAAATATATGGAATTTTCATACGATGGGAAGCTACCCAGCTATAAAGTAGGAAAATCTCGAAGCACTTGTAGATAAATGAATGCACCTGGAGATCATGCTCATGGGTGAAATGGTTTGGACTCATATGGGTGAACACCAAATTATCTCCCTAGCATAAAAAACCAAAGGAGTTAGTGGGATCCAAAAAACACAATAGATATGAAAGTGATAGAGGAGGAAATGCTTAAAATGAAAAATGGCAACAGCTGTTAATTTCCTATTATTTTGTCTTGAATTCTTGTATTATTTTCATAATTTTGTTAGATTTTATTTTATTCTGTCTTGTTTTGTTAGATTTTATTGTGTCTGACTGCATAGGTAGCTATTTTGAAGATATGGTTACCACCACTGATCTTCCATGATCTTGTTTTGAAGTCATATAATGCTTTCATTCTTTTTGTTTTGATAGGTTTTATTCTGTTTTGTTTTGATTTTATTATGTGTGATGATATTGACAAGCTATTTTGAAGAAAATAAGACATGATAGCCATTGTTTCTTTCCTATTATTCTGCTGTGAAGTCCTATAATGCTTTTATTCTTTTGTTTTGATTGGTTTTAGTCTATTTATATTGGTTGATTTTATCATATGTGAAAGTATGGATAGCTATTTCAAAAAAAAATAGGAGATATTATGGTAGCCCTTGTTGATTTCCTGCTATCTGATTTTGAAGTCCTATAATGCTTTTGTTCTTTTGTTTTGATTGGTTTTGTTCTCTTTTGTTTGATTTTATTGTGTGTGGTGGCATGAACAGCTATTTTGGAAAAAAAAAAACAAGAGACATTATTATGGTAGCCATTGTTGATTTCCTGTTGTCTTTTCTGAAGTTCTATATTTCTTGCATTGTTCTGTTCTGATTTGCTATGTTCTGCTGTTTTGTTTTATTCTTTACCATAAAAAATAAAAATTAAAAAAGAGATATCTACTGTTTATGCATATGCAGAACAAATATAGTCAAAAAGGCTATACTTCCAAAACTCATATACAGATTTAATGTAATCCTGATCAAAATACCACCAACATTCCTCAAAGAATTATTGAAAACAAATCTAAAAATCGTATGGATCCAGAAGGTACCCAGAATGTCAAAAGCAATTTAAACCAACTTTGATTTAACAAAGAGAAAGCATCAAGTATCATAATCGCAGATTCTAAGTTATATTACAAAGCCAAAGTGATAAAAACTGAACAGTGCTGCCATATGAATAAATACGTGGATCAGTGGAACACAATAGAGGATGCAAAAACAGACCCCAGACATATTCAGCTATCTAATTTCTGAGACAAGGACCAAAAATAGTCACTGGATGAAAGATAACCTCTTTAATAGTTTGTGGTTGGGAAACTGGCTATTGACATGAAGAACACTGAAGCTAAACCATATATATCTCACCATGTTCTAAACAAAAATCAAAATGAATCAAATACCTAAATGTTAAAACAGAACACTTACTGTGCTGTATAATAAAATGGATACACCTCTTGAAAGCATAGTAAAGGACCTTTTGAATGGAGCCACAATGGCACCAGAAATACTACCATGAATCGACACATGGGATTATATCAAATTAAAAAGCTTCTGCACGGCAAAGGAAACAACCAATAGCGTGAAAAAGACAACCTACAAAATGTGAAAAAAAATTCCATCTTTTTTTAGGCTGAGAAAAAATATGCAGAATGTACAAAGAATTATATAG